AGTACATCGCATGCGCACGGAACTTACAAATATCANGCTCTCAAACCACAAGACCTACTACAATCACAACGGAAATCAAGCAAGGTATGTTTGTGTCAGTCTTTCAAATTTTCAAAAGTTTCACATTAAAAATTTTTATTTTGAAAGGAACCACGGCTCCAACCTGCTCAGTTATATATTTGAATTTGGATGATGTCACACTAACGATAGGCGATGGAATGTCTGAAGAAAGTTCTGGATCTTTCACTTATTCACCTGGCAGCTCCTTGAGTATAGAAACCGCCGAGCCGAAAATCATTATGAATATTGAATTTGATGTGGAAAATACTGATTCTGTAGAAGTCAAAATATCTGAAGCTAACAATAACATTGGAAAAACTTTCTCAGTAAAACCCACAAATGGGGTGTGTACATTGGATAATATTTTATATATTTCAATGATGAAAATAGTTAAACAAACTTTTATTATTTTCTTAAATAATTCCTGAACGAAGAATTTTTAAATTGACAGAGAATTAATTTTCCTGTTGAAACGACTGGTTCAATGATAACGTTCTTTCCAAAACTTGCTGATTTTGCTAAAATTGGTTCAATAAAAAATCTAAAAATAAAGATTTGTGGAGAAGGTACCTGCTTTTTTCAAACTTTTAAATTCGATATTAATTTTTATTAATGTCCTTAGTTTCAACTATCGCACCAGTGACAACGACAATGGGACGCTTCACAAAATCAACAACTGAATCAGGTGAATTATCTTGCAGTGTTTTTTCAATATTTAAAATTAATGTTTTCATATAATTTTTAAATGGCAGGAACAACGCCCAGTCTCTGTAGAACACTCGACATTATAAAAGATCCAAACACTAAAGTTGAGTCCAACCCAAAGTTAGAAGTCTCGTCGAAAACGCATTTTACTTTCCCGGTCACGGATGGAAGAAATCCGAAACTAACAATAACATCGTCTGGTCCTGTTACGATCATGGAGTTAAATTTCGATCAAGATAATGTACAACGAGTTGTTCTTACTTTCTTGAACGAAGCTGGGGATGTTGTCAACAATGAAACGAAATTTATCGAAACAAAGGTTAGGTATCTTTTGAGTCCTTCGATAACTTTTATTTAATGGAAAAAATTACATGATGTAAACTATTTATTCTGGCAGTCGACAAAGTTCAATTTTAATGTCATGGCCAAAACGGTTATTGTTGAACTTTTCCCGGAAATCCCGTTAGGAAATGTAGTAATTAACAACATGGAAGTATGGATTTGTGGCGAACCAGGTCAACATGAGTTTTTTTTGTGATTCCTTTTCAAACTTTTTTAATAAATAATTATTTCTTAATTTTCGAATGTTTCTTCGTTTATTTTTCAGATGTTTTTCGAAGGACTACAACACCGCAAATTGTCACTCATACTGTTCCTGGTTAGTAATGTTGTTATTCAAGCCTATCGAAATTTTATGAATACTTTTCGACTCGAACTCAGCGTTCAACTCATTAAATATTGAATAGTTATAATTGCATCTTAATTATTATAGTGTGGAAACTGCGGAATATGTTGACTCTCATCTTACCATTTGTTAATGTTCATCTTATTCAGGCAAACTAATTTTTGATAGTAGATGTATATTGATGATTAAAAACTGCAACTAGTTTATTTGGTTTTTCATGAACATAATTGACCAAACTGTCCAACACAAAATATTTTGAATGCCAACCTTACATTTGACAATGTTATTTTTGTAAAGGATATTTTGTATTTGGTGTGTTTTACTGGTCTTTAAAAGTTGTAGCTGGCAGACAGTACAAGCTAATTTTTTAAAATTATAATTAGGCTATCATAATCAATATTGACGTTAAAAATGAAAATGTTTTCAAATGTGTCCAATGGATGTTTGTTCACAAGGGCCCTATTTATATTGAATACAGAATCTTGGATACGATGCTGGAAATATTTTGCTGCTGTCACTACTTGATATAAATGCTGCGTTAGACTGTTTGACACAACGGACCACCAGATCATGTTTTTTTAATTTCTTGTTGCTGGAGAAGTACCCATTTGGTTTCAGTTATACTTAGCGGACAGATCTTAATTTTTAACGTTGGTGGAGATTCTATCAGAATTAAGCTGCGGTGTTCAACAGGGTTTAACGTTTGACTTTCTTGTATACATCATGTACCCCATAGGTGTTGTCAGCATTATCAAAGCAACCTGCCTTGTAATCATCTATAGGCTGACGATATTTAACTTGATAGATTTAGATCACCGGGCTTGACTATCTATATCCGGCTGGAGCTAGATTTTGCCTAACATACACATCGCGCGACGTACACATGTGTTTTTTATTCGCGCACAAGCACCGCTTCATACGCGCATGGCAATGTTTTAGAAAAAATTTGGGCAGACATCATTCGAGCCAGTCTAATAGCAGCGCGAGACACTTCCACCGACCGCCGACTGAAATAACTCGCCATACCGGACATAGTTCTATGTAGTTTATAAACTCAATATTGCATTGATAAGGTTTGTGCATCATTGTCAGGTTTTATTTAATAATAATTCGTAAAATGTTAATGGTACAATTTTGATATTTTAATTATAAGCAAAAAAATATTCAGAAAAAAAATTGTTTGGATGATGTTTAAAATTTTCATAAAGAAATATTATTTTATAATTATTTTATAACAATTTTATAATTTAAATTTTAATCAATCAATCTTCGTCCAGAGACCCAGTTTCCCGAGGTAGGACGTTGTTTTCTTTGCCATCAACTTTTTGCGCCAAATTAGACGATCAGTTGTATCCATTTCATTTAAATTTAGAGCTTTCATGTCTTGCTCGATTGTTTGCCACCAGGATTTCTTTGGACGGCCTTTGGGACGTGTGCCAGGTACTTCAACATTTGCAAGAGAAGTTATGGCACTGTTTCCACTTTGTTTGACATGACCAAACCACAGCAGACGGTGTTGCCGGCATTCGTCCTTTATATCATTTAAACCAGCAAGACACAAGATTTTGGTAGATTTGATGTGGTCCTTCAGACTAATTTGTTGCATCCATCGGAGCGTTTTCATGTCGGTTCGTTGAAGTTGTTGTTTCAGTTTGGTTGTCATTGGCCATGTTTCTGCATTATATAACAACACCGTCTTGTGAATGTCTTGATCGCAGTGGTAGTGGGATGTCACGCCGTATCAATATAGAGGCAAGGAGATGCCATTTATTCCAGGTTGCACGTATGCGTGCTCGAACGGCAGTTTTAGCTGTTCCAGTACAATCTAGAACATCTCCTAGATATTGAAACGATGTGACTTTTTCTACCTTATATGCTTCAAAAACATTGCTATTTCGAATTTGTTGTTGTGGATTGATGCAAGCAGGACAAACAAAATTGGACACTTCTGATAAAGTACCATGATCGGCGGTCTGGTGTTCCAATCTTCAAACATATGTGCTGCATTCTTCTGCTCAGACGTGGCTGTTAAAACGATATCATCAGCATATATTAGATTCCAAATGTCACCAGTGCGTATCGGTTTTGTGATTTCTTCCATCACAGTTATAAATTACAGTGGATTGAGAATCGAGCCTTGGTGAACTCCAACGCCGATGTCAAATGCATCTGTGTTTCCAACCGTTGTGCTGACGAGAGTCTTAGTATTCGTATAAATTTCCATCACAAGTCGACAAGATATGCTGGAATTAGTTGTCGACGTAGACTCCACCTGATTGCTTCACGGGGAACTCGATCAAATGTTTTTTCAAAGTCTACAAAAATGTGTGATAGTTGTTGATGCTTTGTGAGATACTTCTCTTGCAGTTGCCGAAGGATGTGAATTGCATCAATTGTTGATTTCCCCGCTAGGAAACCAAATTGATAATTTTCGATTGTGATGCACGACGTTAATCTTTTCTCAATGATTTTCTCGACAATTTTCAGGGAGTGTTCTAACAGACGTATACCCCGATATGATAAACAGTTCAATGGATCACCTTTGTATAGCGGGACTGTCATGCTATAGTTCCATTCAGTCGGCATTGAACAATTTTTCCAGATTTCACGGCAAAGTTGTAGTAACGTTTGGATACCTGCAGTACCAGATGCTTTGATAATGTCATTTGTGATTCCAGAGAGCCCTGCTGCCTTTCCATCCTTCATAGCTTTCAGAGCTTCTATAAGCTCCTCTACAGTGATGACTGGAATCGGACCTTTGATGGGTGGAGCGTCAAAGTTGACATTGATTGGGATTTGCTTCATTTAACAAACGGTTGAAATATTTTCTCTATTGTAGCTTGATTTCATCTTTTTCAAGAACCATCTCATTTTTGTCGTTTTTGATACATGAGGCACCAACTATGTTTTTTTTCGTACGCTTTGCTTGTTTTGCTATACGATACAGGAATTTCATTTGTTCACCTTTGCTTTTAGTGAGCCACTTTCTGCATTGATCTGTCTGAGCCAGTACGACTTGACGTCTTGCAAAATTGTTCTTCTCACGGAAAATTTTAGGGTCATCAACAGACTTTGATTTTTGCCATTGCTTGTATGCAGCTTTCTTTTCAGCTATTGCATTTTGTACTCTGTCATTCCATCACCAAGTGTCACATTCATGCTGACGTTTTGTACCAGTTTTCTCACAAACTGTAGTTGCAGCGTTTATAAAAACGGTTTTGTATGTACTCCAATCTGTACTGGCTTGCGATTGGTGGTCTAACTGTGTTGCGACAATCTGTTGAAATTTTTTTCGATGATATTGCTTTTCAGCTTTTACGTTTTGATTCTCCGAGGCATTTGTTTAGATTTATGTTGTGACAGTTTGACAACCAGGTCTGCCACAAGAAGTCTATGTTGGGCGACACATGATTCGCCAGGTATAACTTTGATATTTTTGAATGGCTTTCAGTGTTGTTGCTTGACAGCGGAGAAATCAATTTGCGTGGCTGATGGTCCACTTTTGTATGTTATGAGATGTTCCAACCTCTTTTTAAAATATGTGTTCAGTAAAAACTTTCAGCAAACTCAAGAATGCGGTTGCCATCTTCATTCCGTTCTCCATAGCCAAAACCGCCATGTACGTTGTCAAAATCATCTGTTTTTTCTCCAACGTGGTCATTGAATTGAGATTTTGGTATTGTTGAGATGGTGTCAGAGAACGCAACCCAGAAATCATTTTTCATTTCTTCTGATTCACCTGTCTGCGGTACGTATGTAGAAAAAATAATCATTGTTTGCTTTTCTAGGCAAAGCTTGATCCACATGAGACGTGAATTAATTTTTTTAATATCCAGTACTTCTTGGGCTAGCGGTTCTCTGACAAAAATTCCAGCACCATTTTGGCCGTCTTTTGACCATTCCAGAATAGTTTATATTTTTCTTTGTCTGAGTTGACATGACAAACACCATTCGTTTTCCATCGGGTCTCCTGAAGGCAGTAGATGTCAATCCTTCTACGCTCGAGCATTTCTACGATTTCCATGCTGCGGCCAGTCAGTGATAAAATCAAAATAATGAATGAATTGGAGTCATATGAGTTATAACTTAAATTTATTGATGGGAAATGAATACTAGTCTATTTTAAACAACTTATTAACAATTTATTTGAAAAATCCATTAAAAAATCACTTAATTGAAAAATTTAAAAAACCATTTGCTTAAAATTATAATAAATTTTTCAAACAAAAATTATCTTCGCAGGCACGAGGTCGCCATCGACAAGCGAAGTGATAACGACGGGTAGTCTAGGAACAACATCCAAGCCAAGTACTATTGGAGGGCAAAGTCAGTTAAATCGAATTTTTCAGAAATTTAGTTGAGTCGTTATGAGCATTGATAAATTTTTTCAACAGCTACGGTGGTGACGAAAAAGATTTTTACTGCAACATCGATATGTCAGGTTTTCAACATTGTTCAGAGCTTTCAGTTGTCTCGGGTATATGTTGCCGAAAGAGTCGATGAAGTCGACGATCGATCAAACATTAAACCTGCAGCAGATGAAATGCAAGGTTTTCATGTAACTTTCAATGAACCAAAAACCGTGATGGAAGTGAGGCTCAACGTTTTTAACGTGAAAACAGTGACAATTGATGTAAGACGTGAAATAGGTAAAGGAGACAACCAAATATTTAATGATATTCCAGTTCTAGATGTGAGTCAACTTTTTGGTAGTGTTTTAAAATTTGTTAATTTACAATATTGAATTTGTTATGAAAAAAAGGGGAAGATCT